CGATAAGCTTTTTAGCATACATATTCACATCATTCACCAGCCACCAATCACATGCAACAAACTTATTCTATATTTACATAATAATAGAGTGATACTTACACAAACAATATAAATTACTAGATTAACAATTAAGAGAGATATGATCAAGGTATTTATTGCAAGTAAATCACCAGATGAGAACAATACGGGAGTAGATAAACTAAATAAATAAGAAAGTAATTAAAATCAATAAATTAAAGTACACAATGTAATAGTAAGTATTTTAGGCAGTACATGAGAAAATAAATAACAAATTAGGGCAAATATATACTGACCGATTTCAGCTCTACTGGTGACCTGTAATTAATTTAGGGATTTCTATCTTTTTACAAAACACACCATTTATTGATTATTAGTTTTTAATTTACTATAACAGGAGAAAAGAGCGAGGGATTCTTACCCCAGATCAGTGTTCGAAATATCGTTCTTTTCACTGTGCCTCCTGGCAGTTCTCGGATTTCTTGGGTTTCTCCTGCATAAATGAAAAATACACATCACGTATCCAAAAATACCTCAAAAAGGTTAAAATAAGTGTTTTTGAATTTTTCTGGCACGGCAGTGCTCCCATGCTCCAGCATCGCCATGATCTGGTATTAGCTCCACCACCCACGGTGGCAGTTCCTCTTGGTCTAGTCATTTTCGGCTAGTTTAGGCATGTTTTGGCTAGTTTTGTATGGAAACCTACAAAAAACAAGGTTAAGGAGCCTCTGTCGGCCCAAAAAGAGGAAAATTAAGACTCTACCGGCAGAGGGCTTTCCCAGTGCAGCGTCTCTGTTGTTCCTCCTTTGCGGTCAAGATTTTTCTTCAGCTAACTTGTATCAGAAAGAAAAGATGAACAATATGATCAAAAAATTGAGGAAAACAGGAAACGGGAAGGGGGTCATCGAAGGGGTTTTCGGGTTGCGGCCGGGCAGCTCAATCGAGCTCTGCTCACATATTCTGACTCACTCGTTGCCCTTTTGTCTCCGATATAGGTGTGGGGAGGTTCAAAATTCAATTCCGAGCGAAAGGAAAAAAAATTCTACTTTTTTCGATATCGGTGGTGGCTCCGGTGCGGCAGCGATGGTGTCCCTCCGGCGGCTTAGCTTCCCTCCGCGCCCTTCTTCTTCTTCTCCGATCAGGGTTGTTAGCTAGGGTTTTGGGAGCCGACTAAAGAGAGGTTTAAATACCTCTCTTTCCCTTATCTTGGCTGTTCATTCACGTCGACGTGGAGCAAGTAGGGTCATCCGATTCGAAGCCTGTTTAGGCCAATCCGTGTGCAAATCTGGGCCATATATCGTGATCAAATCCAACTGTCTGATCGAATCTGAAGAGGAAACGGATCTGGACCGTCTGTGACCGCAGGATGTGATCTGGACCGTTGGATCGCCCAGGCACGTGGATCACTCGCGTGGCTCCCCCATGGAGCCAATGCCGGCATGTCTGCCACGCGACGCGTTCTGACTCGTCGTTGCTGCTAATGTGGCCATCCTACGTAGCTCATATTTCTTATTTTTATAGTTTAACCCATGTTTTAAATTTTTCTTTCAAATATACTCCTCCTTATTTATATTTTCATCATATTTTTCTAAAATTAATTTCAATTTCATCCTAAATCCATATTTCTCCACAAATTTAAAAAATAAAAGAATTAAATCGTTTTAATTTATTATTTTGTTAATATTAAATCATCATAGACCAAATTTTTGAGTTCAGATATTATATTTTAACAATATTAGAAAACCTTATAATTATTCGATTGAAATAAAAATATACGATAAGAATATAAAATTGAAATAAATTAGAACATAATTTAATATTATAATTTATAAAAGTAAGTAAACTTATTTAATCATTTATATATTTTATTGAACCAAAAGTATTCCCACATATTATAATTAGAAAACAGGCACTGCGGCGCGTGAAGTTTCAGCATCATCTGACTACATCCTCGCGGCTGGAGAGGGTATGATGATATCATCGGTACGAGGCAATCCCGACGAGCTGCTGTCTACTTGCCAATTGCCATGACAAACGAAAAACTCTAACGATCCAAAAACCTGACACGTGTCCACTTTCTAACTTCTTCTAGCCACGTGGCGTTCTCTGAGGCTACCGGTACTCTCCTCATAAATAAAGCAGAATTTACAATTTGGAGAAGAGTCACCCGGTGGGTCCCATCCCGATATTTCACCAATTCCTCGCCGCGTTTTTTTGTTTTTTAAGCCGCGCTTTTCAAATTTTATGTAATTTTTTTTAATTTTTTAATAAAATTTCTATTTTTTTAATAATTTCTGTACTCTACTGTTTTTAATAATTTTCTTTCAAATATTTTATTTTCTTTTATTTTTTAACTAATGATTATCAAACACGATTGATGAAATAGGCATATATATACATCAATATATATATGTACATTAGTGATTACGTGGCAAGATCATAGTGTTGCAAAAAGCTTTGGGATACGGGAACTTAGAGACATTTAGGGAAGTATCCTAGCTCAATTTCTAAAGCACATCTGCTCTGCTGTCTCTGCAGTTTGACGTTACAGATTCTCCATCGATTGACACGTGTCATCATCTCCGCACTCCCCACCCACTGTTTTCCTTTTGTTTCGTCCCACGTTGGAAACTTGCCCCGAAACGTATTTCTATTTTCCTTAATTTTACCAAATTGCCCCTTCCTTTTTCGAATATTTACAAGGAGCGTTACAGGTGTTGCAGGTGAAGTCATTGAGGCCAGCAACTTGCAGGAAAAAAGAGAGAGAACACAACCAGAGTTCTAACCGTAAGTTGATACGACTCTTTCCGTTTCTCCAAAGGTCGCCACGTCGCCGTTTTGAGCTTTGTCCTTGTTTTCTTTATATACCCAAACCAGCTCACTGTCTGTCACCCTTTCTGCCTTTTCATCTTCTTTATTTTCTCATCTCCGGCCGGTTCTCGTCGGAGTTCTTTCTTCCAGTGACGGTGAACAAAGTTTTCGTAAGTTCTTACTCTCTTGGTATTTTCTTTCAGCTGCTTCTTCTTTGTCAAAGGAAGAGAATATGACATTTTGTTTACACTCTGTTTTCTGCTAAATTAATCTTGTGGTTCACTCTTTTGTTCATTTTATACTGATTCCGAGCCTGCCTTGGTCTGTATGTCATCTATTTCTCTCTTCATTTCTTCAAATTCTTACTTGGTTATAAGCTCATTTTCACGTTAAATGCCTCTGTTTTGGAAAAAGAAAGATTAACTCTGTTTTTTTTTTTCCTTCAAGTTCAGTTTTAATCACTCTAATGGCGGAAGCAAACAAGAAGAAGCTTCACCAACTGCATAGCTTCGGTCCAGATAAGGAGAGCCCTACTGATCTTCTACACAAATGTTCACCAGAGAAAACCCAAATCACCAACCTCGAACAAGAAACAGACCTCAATCTAGGTCTCTCTTTGGGCGGAATCTACACCCAAAAAAACACCGGAGAGAAGCTTTTTCTAGCTAGATCATCGTCGATAGCCGGAGTTATGTCGCTCGGAAAAGACTCCGGTGAGGTCGACGTGCAGGTAAACAGCTTTCTTTCGCTCTCAAGATCTTGCTCGCTGCCAACAGGGGTAGAGCAGGAACATAGACAGGTGGACCTGAGGAAATTGCTGGCGATGAAGCAGGCTGGGAAGAAGACGGAGGAGCAGAAGAAGAAGAATTGGATTTCTAAAAGCTCTCTCCTCCATCCTTCCCTTCTTCAAATTAACTCACAAGAACGTTCTTCTGCAAACAGAAAACTTATAGGTAATTTTCTCTTATTTTCCTTTCTTTTTTACTTAAATTTTATGAGTACACACACATATACACGCTTGCATATATATGCTTCCCCTGTATAGAAGATAGTATGTAATCATATTTGGTAGAAAATATTCTCAATGTTCTATTCAAAATTGATCTCCTAGGCTTTGGAATTTAGATGATTGTCTTTGAATCAGCTGAAAATGGGTGAAATTCAAGAATTGTTTATTTCACTAAATAATTTTATAGACAACCAGATAATTTGCTGCAAAAATGGTTAAAATATGATAGTTCATATCAGTTTGCTTTTTGAAAAAAAAAAAGATAATTTGTGTTAAATAACTAAGTTATATCGATAAGTAATATGTTCCGAAACACGTTTAGAGACAATTGGCTTTGTCAAATTATCTGTCGAGCATTGAACTGTGTGAATGATGTTTAATTGAATTTGATTACATAAACTACTCTCCTTCTAATGCATGCTCATCTAGGAAAGTTAAGTAGCATTTGGGTGCAGATTTGACCTTAGAATAAACTTTAGTTAATCAAGGAAGAAGATTACAAAATTGTGGAACTTAGTTTTGAATTTGTTCGGAAGAAATCTTTTTGTTGGTATGAAAGTTGTAGAAGACAAAATCATACCTTTGGAATTGTGCACAAACAAGCCAATAAGAGACAACGAAGAAGGTAAACCCTGCCCACATATCAATGGAAATGCCTGATAATACATAGTATTATTCCATAATGTAGCTTTATCTTCAAATAATTATGAGAATGTTCCTCCAATTTTATACAATTTGATTTGATCTCCTAGAACATTTGATTGAACTAATGAATTGGAAGATGTAAGAATCCTTCAATTTTGAGAGCATAATTGATGGTTTCAACATTATTCTGATAGTTTTTACCATTTATGATGGGTTTAGGCTAACGCAGAGATTTTTTTTTAAAACTCCAAGATCCCTTGTTCTTCCTCGGATTATTGTTTTAGTACAATACCATGTTTTTGAAGGTTTCTTACTACTAGCTCGTTTTCTGTCTTAACGCTGCAGATGTCTTGAACCTGTAATTCTGTCTATTGACATTAAGAAAAAAAAGATTCTCCATTCTATGCTTGTTAGAATTGAGAAAATTTTCTTATATACGAAAATAGGTTATCCTGAATCGACGCAAAATATTTTCCAAAAATTGTGTGTATGCATATGCTATGCAAGACATCCTTTAGTGCGAGCACATTTCTAAATTATCAAGAAGGAATATTGTTCGAGGTGGATGAAACAAAAAAATTCAATCTTCTTATACTGATATATGCAGAGTTAGTTTGCATATCTAAAAGTTTCTAACCTACATTAATATCCTGCAGGGCTAGAAAGTACCTCTACTGCTAAGGGCCCTAGCAGCTCTCTGCTATTGCCTGGACCAAAAGATGCAGAACTTCAAATCACTTCTGGGATGCTCAGAAACGGAGCAGCAGAGGGTTCTGGTGATTCTATTTCACCATCCGAACCAAGAAATGCACAAACTGCACTTACCATTGGGACAACCAGGAAATCAACCTGGCCTGCAGCAGAAAATACTCCAAACATTACTCGATCCAAGAAGGCGAAAATTGCCAACGATATGGACGTGATGAAACAGATGCCGAGTGTGACAACCATCGGAGATGGACCGAACGGGAGGAGAGTAGAAGGGTTTTTGTACAAGTACATGAAAGGTCAAGTGAGTATAGTGTGTGTTTGCCATGGCAGCTTCTTGTCTCCAGCAGAATTTGTAAAGCATGCTGGCGGTAAAGATGTTTCGAATCCGATGAAACACATCAGTGTTTTTCCAACATCTTTTTCTTATTAGATTATATGAGAGTTGTGGCTGCCATTGTCACCCCCATGAAGCTCCTGGTTGGTTTCTTCTTTGTTCTTCTTCTCTGTACAAGGCAATTTCCCAGTAAGATGATGGGCTTTTTTTTTTTTTCTCTTTGTTTAAGTTTTGTTGATGCTGAAGGTAGTCTCTCTATAGGTGGTAAGAAAGGTACTTCTCATTCTCAATTTTATTCTTTTGGCTTCTGTTTATTTCCTTAAAATAATAGGTTAAAATAGGATTTAAATTCTAATTATCATATTGGAATTATCACATTCTTATAAAGAATACTATATCAGCTGATATATATATATATATGTATATATTCTATTTATTAGCATTTTATTATGAGTACCCAAGTAAGAATCTGGATTTGAATTGGCCCATTTGTCAATACTTTATCTAAATAAATTTATCAATTTGACAATATTAGCAAATGGATAAATGAAAAAAAGTTTGACCCTTCTGAAAATATTACCTAAAAGATTTGCCCAGTTCACAATATGAACAAAGCAAAAACTGAAAAGAACAATTTGACAATTTTACCAAAACGTCAAATTTAACCGAGTCCTACAAAAAAGGGAATCTATCACATAGCATTCAATCATAAACGACAGTCCAATGATCACCTTCCACGTCATTGCGTTGACCAAAAACCATTGGACTGCCAGGAAAACTATTTATCCTAATAACACAGAATCCAAAATTAAAAATCGCATCTTTAACCAAAAAAGAGGAAGAGAAGGCGGCGAATCTACGAGGCATATCCTCTAAGATTACAGGTAGATCCACGGCATTTGGTTCCAGTGCTAGCGTATTATGGTACATAGAGATACATATTATAATCACATTTTGAATATCATGAAGAGAGGGGAGAACTTGTAACTTTGGAAGAGGAGAAACAGACTCATTGAAGGAGAAAGGGAGATAAGGCAAATCCATCGCCATGGGTTTGCCAGGTAAGCTCTAAGCTTTAATTTTAATAAATAGTTTTTGATTTTGGCTTTTGATTTTCTGCTGTTTGAGTCTTTTAGCATGTTTTTTATTGTGACATGTTTTTTCACATTCAAATTTTATTGTTTCAGGCTCATTTTGTAATCCATTTCCCCTTAGTTGATAAGATATCTGGGTTATGCTGTTCTGCAGTTTGTTTTATATAAATGGGGAATTTATTGCTTCGAATTCTAGTTCTAGTTCTGTTATTAGCTCATTGTTTCTTTAGCATATGTAATTTCGGGGTTTTTACGTCTTCCCGTGTGTATAGATATAAAGCGTATATATAACATATATCAATCTTTGAAGCCGTCAGTTAATTCGCATGTGAGAATTTCTGGGTTTTATGGGTCTATGAAGCTTGCCATTAATATGTTGCTTATACCATTCTTTTTAACCGCTGTAATAATTGGGTATTATATATAGCTTTATGTTGATGGTTGAATTTAAGAGAGAAGTTTATGTTTATTTTTTTCTTTTCTGCTTACTCTGTGATATGGAATATTGCCAAAGTTGCTGTATGTTTCCTGAGTTTTAGCAATTGCATTCGGTGGAGATATTAAAAGAAAAGAAATCAATTCTATTTTATTCAAATAGATACAGCAATTTCTTTTACTTATTTACAATTCCTTTACTGTGTTCATGATATGTAATGGGTCTGATTCATCATCCTAACATTTGACAGACTTTGCACCATTGATATTTCTGTCACTCATAGCTGGCAGTGTAGCAAGACCTTTATATCCACTCCCTAGTAAAGCAGGAAATGATAATAGACAGCCACTGCAAACTTCTCGTGCATATAACATTGCTCATAGGGGTTCAAATGGCGAGATCCCGGAAGAAACTGCAGCAGCATATATGGTATGCATGAGAATCGAGTGTTAATATGTTGGTTCTTTTGCTTCTTTTGATTCCAAAGCATCTACCTTTTGAGCAAAAATTTTATGTAAATTTCTATTACTTTGTTCTTTTCTTCTAATGTGTCAATTTTTAATGGTCAGACTCCTATTTGATCAGTGATTTTTGTGTTTGAAATCTTTTGCTTGTTTCCTGACATTTGTTTCACTCCCTATGTGAATTACCCACCTGAAAATATGAATGCTTCTTGCAGAGAGCCATTGATGAAGGTGCAGACTTCATAGAAACAGATATCTCATCCACCAAAGATGGTGTTCTCATATGCTTCCATGATGTTACCCTTGATGAGACAACTGATATCGCAGAACACAAGGAATTCAGGAATCGTAAAAGGACGTATGAGGTCCAGGGTTTCAATATTACTGGTTTTTTCACTGGTATAGTAGCTATTTTGCTTCCAGTTCCTCTGAAACCTTATCATATTTTTTTATGTTTACTTAATGTGTATCCGATGCTCTACGACCTGTTATTAGCCTAAACACACTCAGCAGGATTTTTAAATTGCCGTCGTTGCATTACAGGTGTGTTATACCTGTATTTGAACTTTGCTTCTCAATTCGTGCACAGTTGACTTCACATTGGAAGAGCTAAAGACATTACGAGTGAAGCAGAGATATAGCTTCCGTGATCAACAATACAATGGTGAGTTTCTCCCAACTATATTACATGTATTTGAAATTCGGTCAATGATCTGCTATCTAAATTTTAAAGTTCAAGCTATTTCTTCTGTTTCCAACCATATAGTTTTGGAGAATGATATTTATCACAAGGAACTTAAAAATAATTCTGAATTCTCCTTGGTCATGTAGGCTTTCAACTTGCCTATAAAATTCTATTTGGTTAATTCTCATTTAATTCTTAGTCAATTTTTTATTTTAATTCTTATATTAGGTTATGTTTCGTACACCTCTAGAATTTTTACGAAATTCTTTGCAAATTCATACATAATTTAATATAAGATGGTAAACTTCACATTAAATCATAAAAATTGACCTCTATATGAAATTCCAAGTGGAATTTGGAGAACACATTAGCTGATCGAATTTGAAATGTATTCTTCCAATTCTACAAGGTTATTTTTTTTTTAATTTAAACTCTGCTTGTCCGAAAAGTGTATACTTGCAAAGAATTATACAAATTTTCTAAATTTATTTCAAATTTAGCCTTAATCTCAATATACATAATTAGAATATTTAGTTTTTGAGTTACCACCACACTTACCATGAATTTCTTAATGATAGGATTCCAACCCACACCTAGGGATTGACTTCCAACCATCAAGGAATTAAACTGGGATAATGCTAAACAGATTATGTTCTAATTATGCATAGGACTAATATTATTTCAAAAGAAAAAAACTATGCGTTAGACTAATTGAAAATTATAACTGAGAATTAACTAGGATGCTAGGAAAATATTATTGTTAAGTTCTATACAGAAAGAAGATGCTCAAAAGATGAAGAGAAATTTAATCATATATTTAGATGTTATATTGCATCTAATAACATATCTTAAGGTACATGTTATGTGTAATAATTCTGCATTTTATGTATTTAAATATGTGCGTGCTTTAGTTGAAGGATAAGATAGAGGAGAATAAGGAGGAGTTGTTAGTTACTTAAGTCTGGAAATTAGGATAAAATTCCTGAATAATTCCAGAGACTAACTGCTCCTCATTTGCTGGATTTTATGTAATTAAGTAAATGAGAACCAGAACAACTGCGTCTCATCCCTCTGGTGTGAAAACTGCTTGCTGTCTCTGAAATGGATGTACAGAAAAACTTGTCAAAAAAATTTCTTGAGTGCTTTAACAGGAGATCACTGAATTCTCTCTTAGCGAGCCCATATTATTAACAAAAATCCCGTAACAAGATCAGTAAATTAGGACCATAAAAATATGGATTAACATTTTATATTCTTTACAAGAATATTTAGATTGTTATATTATTCATGCGATAGTTTTCCATGCAAAGACTTATCTTTGTCATTGCATTATTTGTTGCAAATTATCTCATTCTGCAGTATTTCATGGTTTTGCCTCAGACTATTCCAAGATTGTTTACAAATTCTACTTATACTGTGTTGTCCCCTTTGCTATATTCTTTATTTAATGCACACAGTCCATGCAGATATAGAAAAAGTACCATATTATACTTTGTCATTTTTATATTTGCGAAAGAAACCTATTACCTTCTAATGCAGATGAAAGAGAACTAAAATATATCTCTACTGGTACATTTGTCAGGAAAATTCCAGATTATTACTTTCGAGGAGTTCATTGCAATTGCACTAGATGCCCCGCGAGTCGTTGGAATATATCCAGAGATTAAAAGTCCAGTTTTTGTAAACCAGCATGTGAGTAGTTTCCTTGTTGGACTGCCATAAACAAAAAGGCTGAAACCACTTGTCCCTATCTGGTAAAATTGACTCCCTTGGGAATACTGCGGTGTCACTTTTTCTGTCTGGTAATAAATGAGATTTTGTAAATAGACTGAACTGACTTGGGAGGAAGTGGAGCAGTTCAGTACCCTTAATTAAACTTAGTGATGTTTCCAGAATTTGTTAGATAAGATGTATCAGGCTATGAAAATGGGGGGGTGTGATTCATATCTTGATTTTTAAAATTCTGAGGCACCTCTGTGGAAAAATTCTGCATGCAACACTTGCTTCTGTTAATTCTTGAACTGTTAACATTGACAGGTGAAATGGCCAGGCAGCAAGAAATTTGAGGACGAGTTTGTGCAGACACTTAAGAAGTATGGATATGGAGGTTCATATATGTCGAAAAATTGGTCGAAACAACCAGTTTTCATCCAGTCCTTTGCTCCAACTTCACTTGTGTATATATCAAATATGACAGACTCACCTAAAATCTTCTTAATAGATGATGTTACCATCCCAACTCAAGACACTAATCAGGTTTATTCTCAGGAGATTCTTCCTACCACTGCATGCTCAGTTTATTTGGGACTTCTCTGCATGTCTTTTCACTTTTCACCAAATGAAATATTCAAGTCAAATACAGGGTCAGGATGAGTATATTAGTGATACAATATCTCTAGTAACCAATCCTTTTCATCAACCAATTTGAACTTCTTTTTTCCCCCTTGAACGAGTATTTTATCTTGATCTGTATGCTGAATCAGTACGTACATTTAAATAGAGCTATGTAGCAAACTAACCGCTGTCTCTATTGTCTGTTTTGTGCTACATAATTCTGTTCGTAATAACTCTAATGCAAGAAAATGCAAATGATGGTGTGCAGTCATACTGGGAGATAACGTCCGATGCTTATCTGGACTTCATTAAGGACTACGTCGTCGGCATCGGACCTTGGAAAGATACCATAGTTCCTGTAGTCAATAATTATTTGCAGACACCTACAGATCTTGTCGCAAGAACACATGCTCGTAACCTACAGGTATCTTTCTTTTCTGACTAATCATTATCTTACTAAAATCCCCTTCAGGACATTCTATTGAATTATTGTCAGTCTGATTAGCTCTAACTCTACGATTACAAGATATTCGTTTAAATAAATTATTTGTCCAATTACTTCCACTTTTACATGTTTGGTTACATTTTTATATAACTCGTTTTCTTTTCTAGCCATAGTGGCTTTGTAAGAAAAAACATAGTAGCAGATTACAGAAACATCATTGATGTACTTTTTTTTTTTTTTTTTTCTTAAAAACAATTCATGTACTTGAATGTGTTTGATTTTTGAGCTTACTTTATTTTAATTTTATATTTGTAAAATTTTAACCTATGGTGTGAGTTTTCGCCTTTTATAATATGTATTTTAGCTTCCTTCAGTTTTTAATTGTTTACAATTCACCCGCTGTCTCCAGTAGCTAAACTACAGATTTTTGTGGTGACTTGGAAATTCAGGTCCATCCCTACACTTTCCGGTCCGAAAACAGTTTCTTACACTATGACTTTCATCAAGACCCGTTTATGGAATATGATTACTGGATTAACAAGATAGGAGTCGACGGACTGTTCACAGATTTTACAGGCAGCCTCCATAATTATCAGGAACTGGCGTCTCCTCTTCACGAAGATGATAGGGATGATAAAAAGTCATCTGGCTTATTGCACAAAATTGCATTGTTAGTCTCCCCCTTTTCCAAGTCACGAGTGTGAATTGAAGTAATTGTTTGTTCATATGTTACAGAGAATATCTTTGGTCAAAAATATTTGTTGACATTGCATTGATAGAGAAGATAGTTTCAGGAAGTTTGTGTTTGCAGTATGCATAATATATGTGATATATATTTTTCTATTGGGATCATTATTTTAAAGTCTTGTTATATATTATTATCTGAATTTTTTGTTTGACAATTATGTTTATTATAATTTCCAAAAAGGGTCGACGGTCATTTCAACAGATACCAAAAGAAATAATAATAATATTAGTTCAATTATCTTTTTAACATAACAAAAGAAGAGATTCTTGGTTTAGCACTGTAAAAAATGTGTGTAAGTTGCTTACATAGTTATAGCTTTGTTACTTGAGCACTAAAAAATTATAATAACAATAATCTTTTTCTCATGTAAAGTGGCATCTACTAAATTGCAAGTAATACTAAATAAAGTACATGCACACTTTAAAAAAATAACCAGAGTAAACTAACTACTAATTCACTAAACAATTAATATGTTCACTTTTCTTTACAAAAGTTCTTATTCAATTTGAATGTTTTAAATGTATTTGTCCAACTGCCATATTGTTACCGTGACTGCAATAAGCACACCAAGCATATGCAACAGTATCATCTCAGAACATAGCATGTGCAACAAAACTATTTGCATTGAATTGATTTCCTGAGGAATATATATGTTACAAGCTGTGAGAAAATCAGTAAGAATCCAAAACTAATAATGTTAATCAGGTACATCCTAATCAAAGAATTACTTCATTTTAGATATCTCTTCAAGCAAAAGTCTAGATTCAGTAGCAAAATCAACAGGTGCAACTGTCCTAAGAGTTATCCTTTGCCGTTTCTCACCATTGTACTCGTTCTGCGCAATGCTGACCCGGAAGAGATGGTGTTTCCATGTAGCTTGTTTCAGTTTCAACTCGTATTCACCATCTTCTCCCTGTTGAAAATGACAAAAGCAATGTTAAGAAAATTGCAGGCTAGTTGTTCTTTTCAATGCTTGAAGTTATATTGGTAATCTACTCACATATCTCAGTTTATCAAGCTCCTCGGCAGGGCATCCGATGATCTTTTCAGCTTCTTCGTTGAAGGCAGAAACCCATGCTTCACCACTTGAATCAGATACTTTCAACACCGTTATATACCTGACAGTAAATAGAAAATATAATTGAAGAAATCCACTGGAAGAAAAATTTACTAAATTCAAATTAAAGTGCAATTTCTTATCTCACCTCAAATTGCATTCTTTATCACTTTTCTGGCACCCTTCACACCAATACCCAGAATCAATAGCCTCAATCACTTTCTTGTTGCAAGTTTTACAAGCACGGTACCACATTGCCTGGTCAGCCTTAATGAAACTTACGAATGCTCTGGTGCTAAAAAATGCAGGCTGCAAAAACACCCAAAAAACTCATTTTATCAACAATTAACAGATTTATAACCCATTACAAGAACCAACTGGTGGTAGTTTAGCACAAAATAGATATCAAGAAATGAACTGAAAATAATTTATCATGTCCTGGAAAGTCAATAATCAGATACCTTGCCGTCGCCCAAGGCTGGATTGCTGGTCAAATGAGAAAGAGTAACTCGATCAGAGTACACAGACCTCGTGGCACTATTGGATGAAGGACTCATGCCAGTGCCAACAGAGGCCATTGAGGTCCCTTTACCTTCAGACTCGTACCTACAAACAATTGAGAATATAGGTTGTGAACACAGGGAGACTAAGAGAGAAGGAATTTTTACGATTCTGATTACAAAATCATACCAATATCTCAACTTGTTAGCGTCAGGTGTATCTGGATTGATCAGCACTGTGCTTTTGCCTATTGTAGACAAAGATACACCTGCAACGGCAACATCAGGAACTCATAATAATTTATTTCTCTTAAAGAAATCCACATTCCATGACAAACCAGTTTATGATCCAGCTCCAACTAACCTTGAAAATCTCCAACTTTAAGAGCCTTGATGGCCACTACAGGAGATTTATCAGCCAAGTCAAGCAATTCCTGACCAACACCACTTGCAAGCTGATTCCATAGTGAAACAACAACAGTCTTCTTCCTGCATCATAAATTGAACATGTTATGATGTTTAAAAGGAAACCATGTGAAGATGAGTGATATGGAATATATGTATAGACAAGTAATATATAATGTACATACGTCTCATCTGCAACAGTTATGTCACGCTTTGGAATAATTTCATTGTCACTCTTCCTTCTGATGCTCATTGTAGGAGAAACACTTTGAACAACCCCAATAATATCTAATGTCCAAGGCAAAAATAATAGCATTATTAAAGGAAAAAGAAACAGAGAAGACAAGTCAGTACAATCTTGAGGAAGCATCTCACCAACAAGTTCCTTCTGATTGACATAGGGGCCCAACTCATCAATGGGCACAAAATTGAATTTTGTTTCTGGAATAAAAGTTTCTTCATTACTTGCTTCTTCTACCTCGGAATTCTCATTCAAGGTCATTTCATAATCATTCTGTACGGTCTTGAACTGCTTGTTGGCAACTTTAAGAGTTCCCCTTGATATGAAATAGACCTTCCCTAGCTGGAACTTCTCAAAGAATTTCTTTGCAGCCTCATTGAACATTGTGGCCTGAATTTGAGTGCCCTGTATCAAGAAAATGAAATTATATATTGCTCACAACATCCATTAAAAACGTCAAGGAATTCAAAGATAGTAAGAAATTTTAGCAGAATTATAACAAAATTATTCAGCTTACATCTTCATCTGTCAGCTCGACATTGAAGACACACCCTTCTCCTCTAGCATTCCTATAAGTACGCATGTTTCCTTTGCTTGTCACCCGAACTTTTATGGTCCAATTCCCTTGGTAAGGGTTCAAGGAAACAAGAGGATGAACTCTTCTGGTGATGGCCATTCGAGCAGCAGGAGCCACACTAAATGTCATCAAATAAATGGAAGTAAATAAAGATATCCCACCAATTCACACACAAACAACTCAACAAACGATCAAAATGAATAGAGTGGATTGAATTGAACAAGAAACTCACTTTCCACGCTGTTCATGGACTATTTGAGCCACAGACCTAGAAACCATCTCTTGCTTTGGCTTTAGGTTGAACCCAGTGGTTTCTCTTGTGATTTCATTATTGACATCAGTTTCCTGCTTTGGCTTCAATAAAATCCCAGCTTCTTCAGTTTTGACCTCAGTTTTCAGTTCCATCTCAAGTGCGGGGGAAACCACCTCGCACTTTGTCACGATTAAATACCTGGAACCATTTACACCCGTTTCAATTAAAATCCGAGTTAATCCAAAAAAATCTTGTACCACCTCGAAGGAACACATTATGAGATAAGATTAAAGGTAAACTTGGTTCTTACTTCTCTGATTTACTTGGGATATCGTTTAGAGTATAATCAAGAATCCGAATGAGACCAAGGTTTTGTATTTTCCCAGAGATGATCTCAGATGTCAAATTTGATGGGAATATTGCTTTTAGCTTCATCTTTCCATCACTGGCGTTGAACCTGCAACAAACCAACAAGGAAAGGAAAAATCGCATTAGCATCCTTTTAGCGAAAGCATGCGCTTCCAGAGAGAGAGAGAGAGAGAGAGAACTAAATTTAGTTTTAGTAGGTAAAACTAATAAGCAGAGGCCACGCACAGACACAAATCAAGTAAAATGAGATAACTGGAACTAAGGAAAATCCATCGGCAAAACTAATAGCAGACGGCACTCAATTCTTCTGTTGGCGAGGATCATGGAAACCCTAGTGTTTTCAGGAGATAAAAAAAGAAAGAAAAAGAAACGCAAGACAGAACCATAAAACAAAATGGTCTTCCCTTTCAGCAAAATTCTTACAGCTCCCCAGCGAAACTCAAGAGTCAAAGAGGAGATACTTAGAAAAGTTCAGTATAAATTTATGTAAACCCATTATAAAGTTGAAAAATCCAATTTCAATGCATTTAACAGACGCGAAAAAACACTCAGAAGGAAATGAGATCCAACTCTTCATCGAATCAGATTAACGCGAAATCATTGTTACAAAACAGCAATACTTAAGAGACGCAAAAAGGAACTCACGTGTATCGATTTCCAGTAGACTTGAGATCCAAAACCTGAACGACGAGCTCAGGGACGCCAGATGATGAATCTGGAGATGGATTTGAAAGGATGATCGATATAGCATCTGGGGTCACTGTCTCGGCCATTCTCTCTCTCTAAACTACACCTTTCCCTCCACAGGCTCAGTCGTGAGGAGATGAACGGCGAAGAAATGAAGGTAAGAAGAAGAATGAAGATTAGCTGTGATGTGAGAGAGAAAGTAAAGGAGGAAGGGTTTTGTATATGTTGATTTTGAGCGCCAATTTTCACAATTTCCAGCGATCTCCGCGCGATTTTAAATCTGTGTTTTTCGCGCGGGAAATTTTAAGCGTTTTCGATTTTTAACCTTTTTGTTTCAGATGGCGTCAACATGTCAATTTTAGATGGCGCCAAAAATATTTGTTCCCCCAATTTATGATTTTACCCCTCAGATTTATATTTATTTACCATGGTGCTTGTTTCAAATAAATATTATTTAATTAATTTACATTAAATTTAAATTTAATATTAATGAATTAATATTATATAAGTCTACTATTAATAAATATTATTTAAATCTCATTTTCTAAACAAAAAATTATAAATTTAAGTAATAATATTTTTGTATATATTTTTATTTATAAATTATCTATAATATATATATGTATATGTATTTTGTACTAAAAAATATTAAATAAATTTAAATTTTTATTAATTAATACAGTATAAAATTAATAAAAATTAATTAAAAATATTATTCATCTCTTTGATCATAAATTATTTTTTAAAGTTATTTCTGATTTTAATAACATTTAGTCAATTTCATTTTTAAAAAAAAAAATAAAAGTAAAAAGTCTTCTGAAAATGATAATTAAATCTTTATATAATAAATATATGGGTGAATTATATTTTGCTTCTTAAACCTATATTTCATATAAATTACCAGAATTTTCATATATTTTTCTAAAAGAAAATTAACATAAAAATGTCCATAAATATATAAACTACATAATTTGATACGAAAAAAATTGAATAAATATACAACCATAACGTAATATAATACGAATTTTTATACAACCATAGTTATAGGAAACAAAAAAAAAATGTGTGTATATATATAGTCAAAAATACCACCAGTATACTATCATCAGTATCATATAAATCATAGACGTTATCATATTGTTAATAATAGATTCTTTATAATATTTGTGACAATTATATGTTTTGTTGCTTGTACTGTAACATAATGAATTTGACTTTCTTTGTAACAACTCAAGTCTCTTAGACAATTATCATACCAATTAACCTATAAAGGTTATTCATTTATGTAACAATCTTAGCCTCTGAGCCAGTTGTCATACCAATCAACCTATAAAGGTTATTCATCTCTTACTTAATGTATAGATCATCAAGCTTAAGACATCCATCTCCACAAATTCCAATCTATATAAAACTCATGTATACATATATCCAGAGTCTCATCTATACCATTTGGAAACACTCTGTACTACATCACTGAATGTAATTAATTGATAGTGTAATTATCTCTAATTCCTGATAAATATATACATATATAACAACATCGATACGACATCATCCTAAGCTCTAAGACAACAACATTACAATGCGGTATGTTCCCACTTGCCCCTGAGTCTGGAGGCACATTTCATATACGTCTGA